ATTCAAAACTCCCGTCACTTTAAAAAGTTTAATTGGAACCAAGATATAAAAGTTCATCATTCGGTTCAAATATATATATATATACATATTTATAAGTATAGAGAGGTAATACTTTGGTTTATAAAAGAATGTTAGAAAAAACAAAAAAAAATTAACGGGCCTCAAGCTCGGCCCGAGATCCGACTGGCCCGGCCCGACCGGCCCGTAGCCCATTTGGCCCGAGGCCCGAAAACCCGAAGTTTAATGAACCTACATTTTTAAGGCTCATGTCCTTATAATTTTCGGGCGGGCTCGGGCCGGCTTTCGGGTTCCGGGTTTAATTGACATCCCTAGCGCCCAGGATCAGCCCGCGCGGTGTAACTACGTGTCAGGTGTGAAATAGAAGACCGGACTACTTGACGTTTGAGAGATGGGGTCCTTGCCCTTCTTGGAAAAAAAACGTCAAGATCTTTCGTACCAAGACATCAAAACGCCGTCCACAAAAAGCTGCGACCAACCAGAGAAAGCCACGAGGCAGGGTGGTGTGGAAGAAAAAGGAGAGAGGGATAAGCCGTTTCGACAGTTAACGGCGCACAAGAGGAAAATGAACGCCGCAGCGCTCGCAACCACCGCCGGAACCCCCGTCCTCCGCCGTGCTCCGAATCTCTCGCGCTTTTATCCTCATACTTCGCCCGTTTTCCGGCTCGACGGAATCGGACGAGCAGTGCAAGCAACCGGCAGAAGGTCGTGGAAGATATCGGCGAGTTCACAGAGCGCATCCACGGCGGAGAATGTGGCGACGGCGAAGTCCGTGCCAAGCGAGATGAAGGCCTGGCTGTACGGAGAGTACGGAGGAGTGGAGGTTCTGAAGCTGGAGAGCAACGTGGCGGTGCCGGAGTTTAAGGAGGATCAGGTGCTCTTGAAGGTTGTTGCGGCGGCGCTTAACCCCGTCGATGCGAAAAGACGCCAAGGCAAGTTCAAGGCTACCGATTCTCCTCTCCCGGTAAATACTCTCTGTCTCTTGATAAGAAATCGAAAAGTATAAGAATCTGTTTGTTTTTTTCGATGATCGGAGAATTGTCGATGTCATCTGTGGCAGACGGTGCCGGGATACGACGTGGCGGGAGTGGTGGTGAAGGTGGGGAAGGCCGTGAAGGAATTGAAAGAAGGGGACGAAGTGTACGGAAACATCAGCGAGAAAGCTCTCGAAGGGCCAAAGCAATTCGGTTCGCTTGCAGAGTACACTGCGGCGGAGGAGAAGCTATTGGCATTGAAGCCCAAAAACATCAGCTTTGCTGAAGCAGCGGGCCTACCACTGGCCATAGAGACAGCCGACGAGGGCTTGCAGAGAACTGGCTTCTCCTCAGGAAAGTCAATTCTCGTCCTCAATGGCGCCGGAGGAGTTGGCAGCCTTGTCATTCAGGTTTCTGTTCTTCGATCGGGGAAACTGAAAATATCAAAGAAAATGTGTACCCATTTGTTGGTTTATTCTGTCTGAAATCTCAAAATGGGCAGTTGGCAAAGCAAGTGTATGGAGCATCAAAGGTGGCAGCCACCGCTAGTACGGGAAAGCTGGAGTTGCTGAGAAGCCTCGGTGCCGATTTGGCAATTGATTACACCAAAGACAACTTTGAAGATTTGCCCGATAAATTCGACGTCGTGTTCGACGCCATCGGTAGTATACCTCTCCCCGTTCTCTCAAAAGACTGCCTTTTGACGAAATGCTAACAATAGGTGAGAGTGGCAGGGATGTGTGAACGTGCGGTGAAGGTGGTGAAGGAAGGTGGGAGCGTGGTGGCATTGACCGGAGCCGTGACACCACCAGGTTTCAGATTCGTGGTGACATCGAATGGGGAAGTTTTGAAGAAGCTGAACCCTTACCTTGAGAGCGGAAAGGTGAAGCCGGTGGTCGATCCGAAGGCTCCGTTCCCGTTCTCAAATGCGGCAGATGCCTTCTCTTACCTAGAAACCAACCATGCCACCGGCAAGGTCGTTGTCTATCCCATCCCTTGATGAGTGTCTCTTCACTAGGTCTGTAACTTACATGTAAGCATATCTCTGTTTGAAGTTTCTCATTCCTTGTAGAGAGTTTAAGCTTTCTGGTTGGAAAGCGTACGAGGGTTTAGTTACAATGATGTCCTGGTGATGAACTGAATGTGAAACTCCGAACAATAGTCTGAACATGAAATTGAAAACAGAGTTGCTTACATAATAAATTTTGGGTTCATTTTGAAAGAGAAATAAGCAAATGGGACAATGGAAGGGGGGGGAGAGAGGGATTAAAAGGCAAAGGCAGGGGTGGTCTTGAAGTCGAGCTCCCAGAGCTCAAAAGTGCCATTGACGAAGTCGTAGTGAGCGCCTCTTATGGAGAGAGTGTTCTTTACCACTCCTTCCCTCACGAATGGATACGACAGCAGATTCCCCAGCGACACGTTCACCGCTTCCTTCTCGCAGTTTGTGCACTGTTCGTCGAAGCTCATCTCTGTCAGTTCTTGCTTGATCTTGTTCTTCGCCGGTGCGCATATCTTCACCCAGTTTTCTATGAAGTCACTGCCATTTTCATCCAAACTTATACCACTTTAGTTAAGGAAACTTCATTGGAAGAACGTTACACAATCCACATGAACAGTTGTTCTCTTTCTTTGCTTTATTCCTTGCTTTTTTCAGATACCTCCCTAGAATACTAACAGGAGGAAATGGAGCCCCTCTCTCTCTCTCTCTCTCTCTCTCTCTCTCCTCTCATTGTATCAGTAAAAGCTAATGCCTAAACCTTAATCATAGGAAAGCCATAATCAAAGGATCATTAATTAGCTTGATTACCTTTTTGTGGGGGCTGCATCATCTTCGATAGACATGAGTCCCTTTATTCCACCACAGCAGCTGTGTCCTATCACCACAATATTCTCCACCTACAAACAAAGCCACACCACCACATAACCATACAGTCCCCGGCCCGACAATGATTACCAGAAGACAAATCCGGAATAGAAGAGTCTGTATGGTTTGAGTTTCTCCCAATTCCAACGGCCTTTCTCAGAGTATGGGATAAATTATAATTGTGGGGTGCTCTCTCTAGTGGCAAAAAGGTTATCTTTTTTGGTGGGTGTTATCAAATGGACATCCTTTTGCGTTTAGTGGATGAAAACAAACTTGAAGGTCCATCACTACAGTGAGTAGACAAACATTCAATTCAGTCAACATCTAAGCCCGGCCATGTACGTAACAGTTTTCACCAAAGATCAAAATAATGCATATACATCAAAGGTGGAAAGAAAGGAAAGGATTTCTGATGAGCCAAGAACACATTGTTATATCTTAAGAAAACAATTACCAGTAGGCTATTTTATTATACCTTTAGATGTAGAACCGCGTATTCAATGGCAGCACCCACTCCGGAGTGTCTTTTCTGCAACAAGCAAAGCCATGACCAAAGCGTCCAAAAAAGGATAGCATTTTTTTTATTGCCGACAAAATTTGAATGATATAGGCGAACCTTGTCATAAGGAGGCACCATGTTTGCAATATTTCTGACCACAAAGGCCTCCCCCGGTTGGAAATTCAAGACGTGAGATGGGCAAACTCGGGAATCCGAACATGCAAATACCATAAACTGCACAAACAATCCAAAGCTTATTTCAAGTCTACCCTTTGATTTCTAACTGAAGTTTTTGCTCCCCCCCCCCCAAAAAAAAAAAAAAACAC